ATATATATATATTTACGAACTTTTCTTAATTAATAAAAACAGTCATAATTATTTTTAAAAATCTCAAAATTATTTTATGAAACTCCTTTAATTAATTAAAGTATTCATTTAATAATTTCATGAAAACTTGGGGTGTTAAAGATATACTTTGATGGTATAGCTTGTAGCTATTATTTATATACCTTAGTATGTCAATGTTGTGTTTGTATCATATGTTGAGATAAAATTAGAGTTTTTATTATAAATATGTGTTTGTATTATTGTTTTATGGGATGAGTAATTATGTGTAATACAAGTGATAATAAAGTTGTTTCTCTATTCAATTTTCAATCTCTATTATATATTCTTATATACGAATGTGTGCATTTTTATACGTGTTATTCCCAATGACATACTTAAAAGAATATTATTTTTCGTGATTTATAACACAAGGGAAAACAAATAACATATTTAAAAATGAACCTTTTTATAGGAAAAAGTGTTGGTATACCAAGGTTTCTAATATATGTGATTATGTGAATGCCCGCGTGCCACTATGATTAGAGTTAGTAAAATAAGTTATCTCATCCATTATAGGCTAACTCAATATAGGCTTCAATTAAAAGTTATAATGAGTTAAGTTAAAAAAGTCAAAATTGAAGTTAGTCTTTTAAATTGATTCCAAAGTTTGATCGTATTCGAGTTACAAATTTTTTGAGTTGACCTATTTTTTCTCTTTTAATTAATTTTTTGTTTTTCTCCTAAATTTATTGTTGGCAATTATTTTTCTCCAAAAATGTTATAGCATCTTCATGGTAATTGGTTAAATAAGTCAAACCAAAAACCTCAAATATAAACAAAAGAAAAAAATTAATATAATAATAAACACTAATCTGCCAACAAAAAGAAACAAGTGTAAAATAAAGAAAAATTTAAAAAGCATTACAATAATTTTTTTTTCTTCTAGGTAATTTATAACTGACAATTCAATGCAAAAAAAAAAAATGTAGTATTCTTATGATATATTTCAAATCATCATTACTTGTCTTCAACAATGGTTTTTAAACTTTCTTTAAGAATTTTTATAATTTCTAAATTAATGGTCTCTCATTCATTTTCATTATCTTTATTCATAATCTAAAAATATAAAAAGAACTATGTTATAAATAAAATTTCATACAAAGTAATTATTGAATTTCAATTCTTAAAATATGATAAAGCTTAAAAACAAATTACCTACAAAATTATGTAACCAACTACATGTGCACAACTTAAATGACATATGCATGTTTCCTTTCTCCAAATGAACATAAATTTTGTGTTTATTTTAACTAGTGACTTACATTTGAATTAACAGAGTTCTTAACTTATTTTTTATTCTTAGAATTCATTTAAACAAATTTTTTTAAAATTTTATTTAATAAATTCTTGTATAATACGAACTTGGGATATAAATATTTAAACTTTAATAAATTATTGTATTTAAATATACATATTAACAACATTTCTACGATTTTTTCTTGGTTTTAGATAACTTTTTTAACGGCTTAAAGCATTTGTTTATAAATAATAACTCTTTAACTATCGATGACCCTATCATTATATGATTCGTGTCACACTTTTAGTTTTCTCACCCATTGTTACTTTATTCAATACAAATAAACATGTTGATCAGCAGTAATTATTTTAACAAGGTTATAAAAACTTTTTCAAATAAATGAGAATTATGCTATACTAATGACTAGTCTCGCATCAGTTCATGCTTGATCGGGCACCTAAAGTCATGTATTTGAAACCCCCAAATTAATCCAACAATTCTAAACTACCGCACATAGTTGAATATTGATAGAAAGAATACACTAAAACAGTGTGATTGGATTGTAAAAGGAGGGAAAGAAAGCACAAGAGTGCTATGGTACTAGAAATCAATAATAGAAAAATACCTGCAAACACACTCTTTTGAACACATCTTTTAATTGGTTAAAATTTATTAAAAATATATATAAATTGGTGAATCTCAAATTTTATTTAATGATCTTGTCTCTTGATTTTATGACTTTCAATAAATTTTAACTAATAAAAGTTATAATTAAGATAAATGTGTTAGAAAAATGTGTTACTACTTGCTAACATTTCCTCATAAGAAATATTAAGAAAAATAACAAGACTAAATCGGAATGCTCTGCAAATTTTCTTGAACTGTATCCTTGCTATCTCTTTGTCATTTCCCCCACACATGTGGTGGCATGTAAACCTAGTTCAAGTCCGCCTATATTTAGGATAAATCTTCACTTTAGAATTTATTTGTTTGTAGAGCCTTTAAGTTCAAGCAAAATACGACTCTAAAGGTGATGGAAAAACTCTTGGAGAATCCGAATGGTTTGGCTTCTCCTCAAGCTCTTTCCTAGATCTTTTGCTTCTTGTCTTTCCTTAGACTTTTCCAAAGTCTCCAATGAAAGTAGAGACCTTTAGTTTCACCATAAAAGGTGAGGAACTATTTTCAAGTAGTATCACTCTTAGAAGGAAGATAAACTACTTCAACTCTCACCACACTCTTTAAGAAGAGGATAAGAGAATTGGAACCAAATCAAAGATATTTCAAGACTTTAGAGAGAGAGAATTCAGAGATACAACTTAACAATTCCCATATATGACATCCAAGAGTGTTTACAAAATGGAAACATTACAATATATAGAGTGTAGTTGGCTTATGGTGCAAGATAGACTAACCATAGTCAAGTGGAACCATGGTTCGCTATCTTGAACTTAAGTTAATCAACTCTAGTTACCTTCCTAGAAGCTTATGGAGAAAGTTAAGCTAATCCTAATTTAGAAATAACTTAGGTTAGCTTAAATTAACTCCATCTAACTAACCTAATGATTACTTTTAACTAGTCTATTGAGATGTCACTTTCAAGGTCATGTGACTTATTTTAATAAAGTTAGATGACTTTCTCACCAAGTTTAGATGTCCAAACCACTTGCTTAGGAAAGTGGACGTCCAACCTTGGTGGATTTAAAATTTGTTTGGGCTATCCAAGTCCAAATAAGTTCATGGTCTAGTCTAGTTACACTTTTCCTAGACTACAAATTACACCCTCAAGTAAAATCAATACAAGGACAAAATTACCTATATTACTTGACCCAAAATATAAGGTCAAATGAAGTAAAAATCTCTAAGCAACATATCCCAAAATCTTAAGGATATGACCTACAAAGAAAGATAAAAATGTCTTACAAATATTAACGCAAAAATAAGTCTATACAAGTATCTACTATATATAAGATACAAGAACTCAAATTAAAGGCATGTACAATAAAAACTATGAAACTAAAAAGATGAATCCTACTCAATGCTCATATAGAGCATAGGTCTAAGAAGCACCTCCTCTGTAGAAGCTTCCTCTAGTCTCCTAATTATGTATTTTGTTAAAGGTCTAATGGCCTTTTAGTGTGAGTTTTCCAAGGATCAACCTTCACCTTTCTTACTCTTATCTCTTCCAAAGGAAACTTTAGAAAGTAGATTTCCATCAATAAGGCTCACTTGACTGCAATCTCAATTTATAATAGCCATTTTTCCAAGGTATACAACAGCGATAACATAAAGGCAAAGGAGGAAGCCAATTGCATGTAAGCATATGCAGCAAAAGGATTAATGAAGCTGACTTTTATGCCTTGGAATGATTGTGTAACACTCATCCTTAATAAACCTGTCAATTGGTCTTGCGTATGTCAAATTGTGTTGATGAGTATTTTAAATACCATAACCAGTTTGTTGAAAACTTAGAAACTTGAATGAGTTAGTGCACTGCCTTGTTGTTTATTCACTTTCGAACTTTTGGTTAGTCAAGTTGAAAACAGGTTTCATAACATATAAATTAGATATTTTTCAATAATTGGATCAAATGCAATCTTCCCTGAGGGTACAAATTAATGAAATAAAGAGAGACATTTTTATTACAACTATATATAAATTTAATAGATTCCACTCCATGACATGATAAAATACATAATAATTGAAGGATTCTTTATTGATGATAGAGTGCTGGCCCTTATCATATATAACATATTTCATAAGTTAATGGTTACGGATAAATCTCAATTAGTGACCTTAAACCCAACACTCGAGTTATCTTGTAGTCACTGAAACCAGCAGAGAAAATGAGTTTAGCCCATTCTTTCTCAGTTCTTTCTATTCCAGGATACAACACCATCACAACCATATCAATGAAGAGCTGTGTTTCAATTGATTTATCATCCCCCTTTTCACTGTCCACCACCATGTCTATGACAATCACCTTGCTCTTAATTGCCTTCTTGCAGTTCTTCAGTATTTTTACACACTGCTCATCATTCCAGTCATGCATTATCCACTGCATTTATAGGAACAAGAAATGGCCTTAATCACTGAAAGATTTGCATTTTTTTTCTTCAGGGGATGGTAGAAAAAGGAGTTCAAATATTCATTTGATATTGATGTGTGATGTTAATCTTTGTGAAATTAGCAAACCTGAGTATGTTCTAAAAATGGTTAACAAAAACAAATGAGTGGAACTAGTTTTAAAGGAAGCATGATTAACCTGAGCTGAAGGTTTACATAAAGATATATCTATGTTGTTGAGTAAACCAGATTTTTGACTTGAAAAGTTAGTCAATTCTAATTTGGTCTTTATAAAACAATAGTTTCATTTGGTCCCTAATTACATGGAAATCTATGTTTAGTCTTTGTTGTTAGTTTTGTTCTGTTAACTGATGATCACATACAATAATCTGATTCTGTCACATGATAATTTATTGTTATGTCACCACTTAATTCAAAAACTTGCTAATTACAAGGATTGAAATCATATTTTCATAAAATCATGGAACAATTGGAAGGGAAAAAAAAAACATTTTTTAAGTAGTAAAACTAGAATTAACTTATTTTCAAGTAAATAGAACACATTTAAACTTATATTAGAGGGGCAGTATTTTACCTTCAAGAGAATGGCATCAGCAGGAGGAATTGACTCGAACATGTCTCCACCAACAAATTTTAAGTTCTCAGTCCCTTGTAAATTGGCAACAACATGTGGCAGATCAAACACAGTGCACTCTAGCTGTGGGAATGTTTGTGCAATTGCCTTTGCCATAGTACCTGTGCCTCCCCCAACATCTACAAGTGACTCCAGTCCTTTGAACACTCCCTTGCATTTCTCAGTCACCACCTTGGCAACCAATTCAGTGTCACTTGCCATAGCATCATTAAAAAGGTGATTAAGTTTTGGCTCACGGCCAGCATAGTCCCAAATTTTCATCCCATGTTCTGTGTGAAATGGTGAAGGGTCATCATTTTTGAACCATGTAGGCAACTGATGCCATGGCTTTGTCAAAGTTGGATCAAGCATGGCATGCAAGAAAGGTGCCATACTTAAGGGGTTGTCTTTAAGTAGTAGAATAGATGCATCAGTCAGAACATAACCCACTTCTAGTTCATTCTCATCGAGCTTTAGTATAGAGAAGAAGCCAGAATGGGTCAAAATTCGCATCAAACGGTAGACGAAGGTAGTTTTTGATGGGTGGATTGGGAGTGAAGCAATGAGTTTTGAGAGTGGCATGGGTTGACCATAGTTGTGTATGATTTCTAGTATGTCCAACTCAATTGCACATTTGAGGGACATGGAATTTATGAAGCTGAATATGTGATTCCAAACATGGGTTTGAGCTCCAAGTAGTTTTGTGCTACGCTCTTCTCTTTGGGCTTCCATATTTTTTCTGCCTTAACTCCTATAGCAGATATCTGTGCTTTCACTTCTATGGAACCTCAAATTTCGTTGGGTCTATTTATAAGGCAAGCTGGTGTGCTATGAACATTTATAAACCCAGGATAGGAACACTAGTTTATCACGTAAAACCTTTGGATTAATATATGTTATTTATATATTTCATATTAACTAAAGATAAAAACATAATAGTGTATATAAGTAGAAAATGTTCATTATCTTAAAATCTAGTTTTATAGAATTGAATTACTTACTCTAATCAACTTTCTTAAAAAACTATCTTAATGATTAAATTAAAATATATTATATATTTCATGTTTTTCATGCGTGTAGTTTAATTAAATGATAAATATGCATATTGAAGTTACTGTGCTCCTCAGTTATTAATTCAATATTACGTAGTGCTCCTCAATTATAAATTAATCCTAATCATGTTTGAGACATGTTACACACTTTCTTCATTGCAAAATCTCCGTCAAAGGTAAAAGATTTTATTTTATCACCGTTGCCTTTTTGTTTTCTATAATAATGATTCTAATAGATAGTATATTTTTCTTCTAATATAGTCTATTATATATCAAAAATTTATTTGAAAATAATGTAATTAAAAAATATAAATTCTACTATTTGTGATATCTAATATTATTGTTGGAGAATGTAAGGTTATAGTAAATTTGAATAATATTGGGTAAATTTACGATTTGGCAGGTGAATTGTATTAGAGTTTTTTACTTAAATAATATTATTTAAAAATAAATTTACTCAAATAGCAACGGCATAAATTTATTTCTCCAACTAGCACCATTTACTGTTTCTGTTTAGAACGGGGCATTCTAAAATCAGAATGAGTTGTTCCAGATTAAAATAACACATGGAAAATAGATCAAAACGAGCCGTTCCAAAATCAAAATTTGCACATAAAAAGTGGAACCAAAACGGGTCGTTCTGGTCTTAAATAAAAAAATTTTATTTTGATTTTCACTTATTAAATACCAAAACTCAGAGACTACCATCAAGTGATTAAATTTATTGAATATTATTATAAATGTAATTAAATAAATTTATTAAAATTCATTACAACAATAAAGATCAATGGTGACGGAAACTGAATTCATGACCAATATTTGGATATATCTTCCTAGTGTGATTGGGAGTGTGACATTAGGAACAATTTTTTTACACGATTATGTTGATCTCTAATGTCCATCTCTGTTCTAATCCTACTAGACTTTGACTGACCCTTGAAAGTTCTGTTGAGTTCTGAATTTGGTTACAAAGTTGAAAGAAACGCAACATCTGAGAAAAGTTTGACTCGCTAGGAGATTTATAATAAGACTAAATGAAATGTGATATGATTGTGGCATGTTCTAGAAAGGTATCCGAAGGATAGTTTGGAGAACTCCGACATGAAGATTATTGGCCTACTAACACTAGTCTAGCTTTGTGGCCAAATCTAGAACTCAAGCGAACTTTCAAAGGTTGGCCAGCAGGATTAAAACAAAGATGAACATTAGAAAACAACATAATCAGTTTCTACTACCATTGATCTTTATTATTGTATTGAATTTTAATAAATTTATTTAGATATATTTATAATGTTAATATTCAATAAATTTAATTATTTGATGTTAGTTTCTGAGTTTTGGTATTTGATAAGTGAAAATCGAAAAATAAAATTTATTTGTAGGTCAGAACGGTCCGTTCTGCTTGCAAAACAGTCCGTTCTGGTTCCACTTTTTATGTGCTAATTTTGATTTTGGAACGATCCGTTCTGATCTATTTTTCATGTATTATTTTTTAATCCGGAACGGCCCGTTTTAATTTCAGAATGACCCATTCCAAATATAAACAGTAAATAGTGTTAGTTGGGAAATAAATTTGCACAGTTATTATTTGAGTAATTTTTTCAAATAATATTATTTGAGTAAAAACCCCAATTGTATTACTAGTATAATCTGTGAAACTTTCTATTTATATAAATTTGTTTAGGAGTGAATGAACTTGTTAAAAAGTTTAGAACTTTAGTAAGATTGACACATGGCCAAACAATACCGATCCGCGATATGTATATTTAGACTTAATTAAGGTGATTCTTATTTACACTAGAGTTTTAATTTGTTATTATATATTATTTAAACTATTAATTAATTTATATAAAATTAGTGAGGCAAATCATTTTATATTTTTATATTTTATTTAATAAAAATATTTAAAATTTATCAGTATTTATTAGATCAATTGATATTATATTTAGTTTTAAATTTTAAAGTATTAAGTTTGAATATTATATTTATTCTAATATTATTTTTTATTATTTAAAAATTTTAAGAAAATGATTTAAGAATGTGTAAATTATATAGATTTATCTTGATAAAAATACATTTTTTGTCCCTTATATTATTAATTAGTGTTAATTTATAGTCTCACTTTAATTAATTGAATCAATTTTTAGTCTTATATCTTTAAAATGTATCTCAATGTTTGATTTTTCGTTTTCTCTATTTAAATACTTAACGGATTTGATATGTATCATATTGACATGATACATGTTATACTGTCATATTACGTGTCATGTTGTCATGTCACGTGTCATGTCACGTGTGCATAATGTCTAGTCATGTGACATGACAGCATAACACGTATCATATCCATTAAGTATTTAAATGGAGGAGATAGAAAATCAAATATTAAAATATATTTTAAAAATGTGAGATTAAATTGATTAATGAGACTAAATTAAATCTAATAAATAATATAAGGAACAATTTTTGTCATTTGTCTTTAAACTTTTTGAGGTATAAAGCTACCTATAAAATTATAATAATACAATTGTTTTTACCTGGAAGTAAGGATTTTCACGTTTTTCATCAGTTATACAATGCTCATAGCCGACGTATTTAATTTAATCTGATATAGATGAGAACGGATCAATCAGTAACTTGAGGCATCCAATTCAAATCTAACACGTTGCAATCATTGTAAAACTTGGGCTATACAATATGAATTTATTTTGATGACATCACAAATAATTTAATTATAAAATTAAAGGTGGTACGTTATTGTTTTTTTTCCCACATGAATTAATGGTAATCTCCGGTGAACAATTGAACTAATCTCTGGTTTGAAATATAAAAATTATTATCTATATTTTTTGTTGGCGTAAAAAAAACTATATTTTTCATATGAATAAATGAATATTGTTCTAATCTCAAAAGTTCACTATAGCATCGCTTTAACTCTGGATGTCCAATCATCACAATTTTTTCCTTATATACTATTTTTAGTGGCTGATCTAGAAATCTAGAAATTATTGTTAAAAATAATAACTAATAAAAATTATTGTATGTCATGAAAATGAATGAAATAATGTGAGTAAAATCAAAATTCTAACTTCATAAAATACCTAGAAAGCTGAAAATGAAATGAAAGTAAAAAGTGTTAGGCGATGAAAGACAAAGTTTGACAGCAGAACAACAAATTGGAGTTAGTGAGTTGAAATATAAATAATAGGTGGAGAAATTTTTTTAAAAAAAATGCATATTCATATTTACAATTTTCTAAAATTAAAGTAGTATATCTGACACCTCTTACTATAACTTAGGTTTACGAATGTTTCTGACCTTAATTTTTGACATATTAAAAGAAACTTTATATTATATCGTTTTGAAGTTGAAAGTAAAAGATAAGATATGTTATAATTTATATAATATAAATTTGGAGCTATTAGAGTGGTGGTTGGAACTCTTAGGTAAATTTTGTGTTTGGGGGTGTTTTTCATGGATGAAGTGCTTAAGGGATTTTTCTTTGGATGGAGTGTTAGGCAAATTCATTGATTAGAGATGAGGTTTAGGAAAATATGGAGAGACATTATGCATTTTAATGTTATATCTTATGCGATGGTTAGACTATTGATTTAACACATTGCAAATCTATTAGCATCTAAATCTTTTATTATTGGCAACTTTTGACACTAGTGGTAAAATTTGGTCATTGTTTTTCAATACCATAGATCATGCTCTAGATTGATTATTAGTCTACCAACTTCTGTCGATCCACTACCATATGAGTCGAGCACAAATTAGACGACAAATTTCTGAATCATCCCTTATATAGTATAGATTGGGATTGTTTTGGTATGTCAAAAAGTTTTGCATAATTTAAAAATTAAGGTTAAGAATAGTTTATAAATATCTTATTCAAACTCAATAAGATATTATTTAACCACAAAATTATCATGACTTATCAAACATTAAAGCAGACGATACATTATATACATGAGTGAGTAAAATAAACTGAACTGATTTAAACATAAAAATTACACTAAATTGAAAAAAATATTTCTCTAAATTGAATTGAATTGAACATTAGTTTAAGTGAATTGAATTATTTTTTTTATTTCATTGAACTAAATTGAAATGCAAGTTTAAACTGAACTTCAATTTAAATTGTATTGAACTGCTTTAATACTTTAAATTAAATAGTTTTGACTCATTGGTCCAATAAGACACGTAAAATTTTCCCAATTTTTTTATTTTCTATTTGTATTTATATTACTAAAGGAAATATTAAAAAAAACATTTGGGCAAATAGGTTTGATAGACTTCAAGCAAAAAAATTAGTGGTCTCACATGGCTAAACTAATGCAATTTTTCTTTTGTTCAACCCATCAAGACAAATCATTTTAACACTTCTAATTGTTATCCTTTTATATAAATAGATTAGGCTTTATACTTCAGTTTAGTTTTCAAATAATCCAATTCAGTTCAATTTTCAAATAATTTAATTTAAAAAAAAGTTTATTTTTTATAATTCAATTTAGCTCAGCATCAGTTTAATTTTTTTTTCTCACTTCTAATTTGGTATGATGACCTTAACATATATGCAGACCCAAAGGTCACAACCTTTCTTTCTTGAAAAGGATATAAGGGCATCTCCAATGGAAGCAACTCATTTGAGTTGCTTCATGCATTAAAAAATGAAAAAAGTGGTCCTTAGTGTGTCATGTCAGCATTGAACAACTCAAATAGAAATTTACTCCAATGGTAAGAAACTTTAAGAAATTCAAC